ATTTAAATCTGTAAAGCCCCTGTGCCAAATGATTGCTATGCCTTTTGGTGCCTGTACAACCTATGGTTTTTGAAATATTAATGTTTAAAATCAAATAATGGGAGTCAATGGAGCCTTGTATTGGTCCAATACTGCCCCATGCTGTATCTACTCAGTACTGCACCATAGTTTAATACTATTTAAACTCAGTAGTTCAGTATTTATAATAAAACATGATTGTATTTTGATATTTCACTATAATATTTTCCTAATATTCCTTTATTGTTGTAATATATTGCAGTTTAGTGTCAACAATTGCATTGGCAATATGACCTCTTTCAGCACACATACAAACCTAACACTGGGAGTACCTACTGCAACAGCTTCTATTGTCTCATGGTGAACACTATGGGCTTTCATGTGGGAGATCAGGGTTCGATCCCAGCCATAAAAAAATTTCATTAAAACTACGTATTTTCTAATTGTCATGTTCTCACACAATTACCCTCATTACAAACAACTGCTGACTTGGCAGGCATAAGCTGGTACTTGATTAACAAACACATTTCAACTTGGTCACAGTTCAAGCTGCAGGCAAAGACATGCTGAAATGGCATGTTACAAGGATCCTGTAACATGTTTTACGTTACATGTTGTCACACTTGTTTTTACATTGTAAAAGCCCATGTCTAGTTTAATCTGTGTTTTTATTTAATATTAGTTGAATCAAACCTAAGAATCCAAGTGATCTAAATAAATTAGGCACAATCTGAACTTTACATAAAACCATCCTGTTGGTCTGTCCAGGTGAACCTTTTCTTTCTCCTCAACATCGTCCGGGTCCTGATCACCAAGCTGAGGGAGACGCACTGCGCCGAGTCCACGGCCTACATGAAGGCGGTGAGAGCCACCCTGATCCTGATCCCTCTGCTGGGAGTGCCCTTCATCCTCTTACCCTGGAAACCCGAGGGCCGCATCAGCCAGACYGTCTACGAATTCTTCATCATTCTCTTCTCCAACTTTCAGGTACGTGCAGGAATAAAGGCTTGCTCACCTATCACAGGCTTCACATTGATACATATTATGCTTAGTTAAAAGTGTTTTTCACTAGTTTTCAGGGCGCACTTTGATTAAACTGTATTGAATTCCGACATCAAATATGTTTCCCTTTTAAATATTTTATCTTTAAACTTGTAAAATCATGGAGGTGACACATACAGTATTTCAATTTTAAAATCAGACGGTCATGTATTCCAAATAACACAGATCCATTTTATTTAAACATTTGCTTTTATTTTCTACAAGAAAATCATACTTCCTTTTAAAACATTACATTTTAACCCTACTTTTCTTTTGTAGGGACTCCTGGTGGCAGTTATATTCTGTTTCTGCAACGCTGAGGTATGTYTAACATAGAAGTTAATTTTTAATTCATTTCTCATAGATTTATTCTGAGAAATGACCACTACGAAGATGCTGCATAACGATAGCAAATATGACCCCCGCATGTACGCAAAGCATCAATGCACCAGAACAGATTTATTGTTTTGGGTGGGGGTCCAGGGGGGGCAGTGGGGCTCATTAGTTAGCCTGATGGATAGCCCTTTATCGGAGCTAAACAACGGAAAAAATCTGAAGCTCCTATGTGGAATAGTTTTTGAGTTATAAACATTTTTGCTTGTCCAGACACCCTCTTTTCAGGTGAAGCCCCCTCCTCAAATATGGGGTCTATCGTAAAACCGTTGGCGGGTTTTAACGTCTTTAAGATAAAAAGGGTGTTTTTAAGGTTTCGAAACATCTCAAATGTGATGGAAATATTTAAACCACTGTATTTATTCAAGTATAATACGTAAAATTAAATCCATAAAAT